TCAGTCCCTGCCTACCATCTCCTTTTTGGCAAGCCCATTAGCTTATTATTTTTCATCAAAGCTGAAAGCACATTATGGAGCAGCCTACTGTCAGTCAAGCATCACCCTTGCATTTTGACTTAGTGGGTCTAAGAGTTACCATAGTTACTAATTAACTCCCAGTCCTGAATGCATTAAACTCTGTAGAAGAGAGACTGTTTACATTATGTAAAATGCTTTTGTTCTAAATAAATTAGCAGGATATGCTAAATGTGTTAAGTCTTGTTGCAAAATAGCATTAACTCATCTCTCACAAAGTCCATTATTGAATTTTTTTTAATCTAAGACTGTGAATTAACACAGTTTTCACATCCACCTTTGATCACCTCACCTCATAACAGAAAAACCATGGTCTCCCTCCTGCTTGCTTTTGAAACATGTCACATTATTGTATTTTTTAATCTACCTTTTCCAAATCAAAACTCATATTTCTACACAATCAAATAACCAAGCACTTATAGATAAATATATTTAAACATAAATCATATTTTCTAAATTAGTTTCTGAGATAATTTCAAATCATACTTAAAAGTCACACACTGATATTTTCTTCTATAAAATGAATTGTAGCTTCTAATTATATAGTATTAGAGACAATGCTAAGAAATCAATAAACTGTCTTTTTCTAATTTCCATATAATTAAGCTTTCATATGAAATCATTTGAAGTATAAGATTAATGGGTATTTTGAATTTTATGTTGTTAGCCATTTTTAATGTTCTAGCAACAGTACAAAAATGATTGCAAAAAATAAAAAATTGGATTATCTCTGATCTTTATGAGTTATTTCATTTTAGCAAATTAAACCATCTTAATAATCAACACATAATTGGATGAGAAGTAAATAATTAATTTTATAATGATCTTCACCTATGCTCTTATTCAATTTTGGTTGCTAAGCTATCAAAGTAATCATATTTTATATTATAGATATTTTATAAATCAGAAAAAATATTTCTAATACAACCACCTAACAGAAAAAAAGTCCACGCCCATCTCTGAGTAGTACAAATTTCACATATGAAACACTGAGACAAATGGGAAGTGTTTAATAGATAGCCAGAAATGTTTCACACTGACTCAGGAACTGCAAAAGCACAGGGTCACCTTAATTATTGTCTTCTCTATTACATTTGTGCTGTATGTTGTTGTGTTTCACCTGTCCATTAAGCCAGAAATAAGAACAGCATTGCTTCTATTGATCACCGCTCACAGTTCCCTAGAGGTATATATATATGCATGTATGTGTCGTATATACATACACACCCCTCACAAATGCCTTAAAGCTATTTTCCTTTAAGTTCTCTTCATTTCTTGTTCCAACTGTCTTAGTTTCCTCTTATGGTCCCACTTACTACCCCTCACAAGGTAGCTTCTTAATTTCCCTTTCATAATTGTCTTCTGCGAACTCATTCTCCCTGTTGCCATTTTGGTCTGTTTGTAATCTATAATCATATACATTTTATCATTCCTCTACTGAGACCCTTCCATTGATTAATGCATTTGTTATTGATACTTAGTGTGTTCATACTGTACTTATATACCTGGTGAATATACAAAAAATATGACCACATGCACACACAGACACACACACACACACACACACACACACACACACACTTGCCCTTTTGGAACAAGGAGAGAGCATCTGTTTTCCCACAGAGTCCCTCTGTGCCCAACCTCACTATACTACAACCCATTATGCAGGAGCCCAGGGCCTCAGGTCCCCAGCATCCAACCACACCTGAGAAGTAAGGAATTAATGAGCTTTGAGATAACACAAAAAGTCGATCTATGTAGCTAAATAGTAAAGTCATAAATGAAAAGGTCAGTGATAGCAAACAAGGTCATAGATTAAAAGATACAGGAGTTTAAAGAAAAGAGATAACATTGCCCCACCAAAGGGGACCTTTCCTGAACCAGGGAATACCATTTCATCAGGAGAAAACCTTGTGAGAAACTCTGATCCACAAAACAAAGATGAAATGTTATGGTGAAATGTTTACCAATCCCCAAGCTTTCTGTCACGCATCTCTGCTCCATTCTGTTCCTCTGACCACTCAGAAGGGAACCACACCCTGATCTGTACTATAGTGTCTGTTCTTCCTGGCCTTGTCTCTTTGCATAGACAATCCAACATTTTGTGCTCAGCTCCTCATCCACTGTGTATCCAATATGACCTGCTTCCCCTAAAGATTCTCTCTAATGAAAGCATCCTTGGTCACTTCCTGTTCTGCAAATACAAGCAAGTGAAATTCAGGTCATTCCTGAATACTCATGTTCTCAGACTTACAGACTGAATTTGCAAATATGCAAAATAAGTCAGAATCTGTGACACTGTGGGAAGATGGTTTTTGTGCATGGTGATGGGAGCTTGCATTGAAAATGGAAAATGAGTAAAACAGACAATGCTCAACTGTATGGAGAAAATATAAGTTTCATAATATTAAGCTAACAAGGCAGAATATAAAACACAATGAACAACTTTCCTTTTAGCTATTAAAATATGCTTGTTAGGAAAAACAATCAAGCTTTGTCAAAATGCCACAGTGGTTATCTCTAAAAAACAAGGTAGTAGAAGACTGTACTACTTTCTATGGCTACATTATTGAATAACCAAAGATTAATCAAAGATGTTACAATGTACCTAAATATATATACCTATCAGTTAGCAGATTGTTTAAGTGAATAATCCACCTACTCATCTGTTCATCCATGTGTCTTTGGAAAAAAGGTCACAGAAGAGTTTTGTTGTGGTAATGACTTCCTAATCCTCATTTCTTTTTTTTTTTCTTTAGCCTTGTTTGTTTGCTGAAGCTGCTGCTTCTAATGATATCTAATAACCACAAATGTTAGAAATAAGCTGTGTATAGAACACTGACAAAATTATCACTTATCTTACAGCTACCATATAACAGCTATACTCTAGTGTTATTAAAGAAAACAGACAACAGCATTGTATATAACTCATATTTCTTTCACTTCAACCATATCAAAATATCCATATCAAATAACTAAAGATAAATATAACAAAATGTTCAGTATTATATATTTCTGTTAATATTGTTTTTTTAATTTTCCTAGTTAAAGCATATTTCCAGATGTTTTATAAGATTACATAATTTCTGAAATCAGAAAAAAGTGTTCTTTTAAAAAAATAGCATCCTTTATTGTGCATTAGTTTTCCATTAGCAGCTTGATATTGTTTATTAGGCTTTCAGTCAAAATGTAATCATGAATCTGTTGTGATTTTTATCAATTCTCAAAAATTGCCAGTGAATCTTTTCATGAAGTGACTCCATAAGACAATCCTGCCATCCATTTTGTTTGGGAAAATATGCTTACATATGATTTGTATTCCTTTCTTTTCCCCTAATACTTAGAACTCAAATATCTGAAATCCTCAGAGCAGCAGGGTGGAAAAACACAATCCAGGTAACAATGAAATTTATTACACTGATTTCATTGAGTATCACTTCACCATTGCCTGAAGCACTCTGTTACTTTAAGGCTGCTTGAGTTTCTTACCAGCTAATTCTCTGTGTTACATGATTTAACTCATTAAAGAGAGAGACATGGGGGGGCAGGGCATGGTTATTAGTTATCATTTTGGTCACAGAACCATACACTCAGTAGCGTTTTAAGACACCATATTTAAGAAGAGAAAAGATAATGAATGTATTTTAACATTTAGTTAATACATCTCAGCTTTGGTAAAGTAAGCTATAGAGTAGTAAAGATACAGTAATTCCTACATTTTTCTCTCAATACATGTTTTTATTTCAATTAGAAACATGAATGCTTCACATGTCAATCCCAGCTCCATCTCCCACCCCTCCTCCATTATCCCTCCACCAGCACCCATCCAGCCCCCCACCCAATCCCCATATCATTCCCCAGTGAGGGTGAGGCCCTCCTAAGGGGGATCTCCAGAGTCTGTCATTTCATCCAGGGCAGGAACTAGGCCCTTCCCCTTGTGTCCAGGCTGAGACATTTGGAATGGGCTCCCAAAGTTCATTCATATGTCATGGTAAACACTGATCTACTACCCAAGGCCCTAGTGATTTCTGAGGCCTCCTCACTGACACTACATTCATGGAGTCTGAATCAGTCCCCTGTTGGCCTCTCAGCCATCAGTCTGGGGTTCAAGAGCTCCCGCTTGTCTGGTCAGCTGTCTTTCTTGGTTTCACCAGCATGATCTTGGCCCCTTTGCTCATCACTCCTCCATCTCTGTCACTAGGTTCCAGGAGTTCAGTTCAGTGTATAGCTGTGGGTATCTGTCTCTGCTTCAATCAGTCACTGGATAAAGGTTCTAGGATGGCATATAGGGTAGTCATCAACCTTATCATCAAGGAGGGGGCTATTAATGTAGCCTCTCCACTATTGCTTAGTTTGCCAGTTGTTGTTATCCTTGTAGATCTCTGGAAATCTCACTAGTGTCAGCTCTCTCCTCAAGCCTATAATGATTCCATCTATTATGGTATCTCTCGTCTAATCCTTATTTCTTTACCAGGTCATTGAAATGAATGGTGCCAGGATCCTTAACCCTGACTTATGGGCCAGATAAAAAGCATCTGTGCGTAGGATCCTTTCAGAAATTAGACACCTAATAAGAAAAGTGAAGGCTCTCCTAAGAGGAAGCATGATGCAGTGCCTTTGAGAGCTTGCTCCACCATAGAAGTGCTGGGATAACGGCTAATGACCTTCAAAAGCTAAGATATTCATTCCGTCCAGGTCACCCTGACATTTTACTTATTACTGAAAAATCCATTTGCAAAGAGCCACAGAAAAACCACACAAAACTTTGATAAATTCTATCTGAAGTGGCGTTTCCTTTGTTCATGTGACCTCTCTCTCTCCCTCCCTCCCTCCCTCCCTCCCTCCCTCCCTCCCTCCCTCCCTCCCTTCCTCCCTCCCTCCCTTTCTCTCTCTCTCTCTCTCTCTCTCTCTCTCTCTCTGTCTCTCTCTGTCTCTTTCTCTCATTTTCTCTTACGCTGTTATTTAAAGGAACATTATGAGGTACAAGTTGACACACTTGGATATACACTGTATCTTGAATGGGATCTTTTGTCAGAAATAGCTCCATCATTGAGCTAAAACATAAGGACAATAATCCCTTCCCAACCCCTACTGTTGGAAGAATTACAAATTGTTGAATTGCACAATTTTTAAAAGTAAGTGGAATTTGTCTTATCTCCCTGTGAAGGGATTTCACTGAAAACTATGGCGCAGTCACTAAAGGACTACCCATAAGGCCATGGTGTCACACAGCATACTTCTACAAAAATGCTTGAGGAGGCATTTTTAAAGAACTGGATTTTAGTCATGTGGATGCAAAGAAAACTGAAGTTCTCACTCCTGAGGACAGTCCTTTAAATGAAACTGTGTTTTCTCTTTCCTTGAGATTGTCAGTAACTTCCTGTAATTCATATCCTAAAACAGAGATTTTGGGGGGAAAGGTGTCAGTAACATGCCTAAAACTCGGGACCAAAAAACAGCAGAAAATAATAATAATAATAAAAATCAAGTGACTTAAAACAATTTCATCGATCTTTTAAAATTTTATTATTCATTTTCAATATACTTTTAAAATTAAAATATAATTATATCACTTCCCCCTTCCCTTTGCTCCCTTCAGCCCCTACCATGTATACTCCCTCAAACCTCTCCTATTGCTCCCACACTCAAACTGATAGCCTTTTATTCCTTTGAATGTTATTATTACACACAGAGAGAGATTAGATAGATAGATAGATAGATAGATAGATAGATAGATAGGTAGGTAGAATAACAAGAGGTCAGCTCTTGAACTATGTACATGCAAACAACAAAAACAGAGTCCATAGATTATTTTACATATTTGTTCATCAATCTCTAATTATTTCACTGGCTGAGAAAGTTTTAAACAAAATTCTTTAGTCATCATACCAAGAAGCAAATCATTAACATCCTGTTTTGGATGTCTTGTGAAGGTCCTGAGATCTTAAAGACTGTTGAAATGGCTTTTAGTTTTCATCTCTCAAGATATTGCTTGGTTGTGTGAGCATTGCTTCTGCAGCACTGATCTGCAGGGTCTGTGCCCACACATCCACACAGCTCTTCCCTGGCCTCAGTCAACAGATCTCATGATTCTTCAGTCTGATTTTCAAACTGAAGTGGTTGGACTCAAGATTAACACTCCAGAAATGAAGCCAGAGTCAGCTTCCATGAAAGCAGAACGGGCCCTAGGGGTAGAACATGGCTCATTTCCCCCAGCCTGCTGTGCTTCTGAAGAAACTAGCCCAGAGCTTTGGTGAAGCTAAAATGATACTATTGCTGTGTCCTTGATCTTCCAGTAAAGGAACACAGGGACACAGTGAGAAGCAACACAGAAACACACACAGAAGCAGAGGTTATGCTGGCTTGCTGTGTGGCTTAAGGGCACACAATCACCTTCTCTGTTATTTTTTCCCCTGGACATGAAAGGGACACTGTAACGCAATGCTTTTCAAACTCAATAGGAAACTGTCTAATCGCACATCCCATTCTGTGATGCCCTTTGAGGTCTTTCATTGGGCAAATCTAAACTAAACAATGTGTTCCGAAGAGCAAGCAGCCTCCTGGCGGTCTGCTGGGAAGGTGCATAAAGGAAGTGTGCACTTTTCTTTTATGTGAATGTTCTATGAACTGAGGCTTTTAAAAGAAACAAAGGAGATGCTTTGGCAGTGAGAAAAATCAGGGGCGAAAGCAACGGGCTCCATTTTCATAACCACAAACGGTACATGAGCAGAGAACCACAGGTACCAAAGAAAAGCAAAGGGATCAGTCACTGGATAGTTCCAGAGTCCCTCAGGTGGGAACAGCTCCATGGGCAAAAGCTTCTTTCTTCACTAACATACATATACACAATTAAGATTTCTCCTTCTGCATATTCTATGCCTCACAATTACTCCTAGAGATATCTACATGTGACTATTAGATGTGTCCAGTATCATAGGCTCGCTTAGATCACAGATGGACTTTTCTAACAAACTTCAGCTATTTATCTTCCAGAACCCATGGCAGACATTACTAAACAATCAAGAGAAAGTCTGATCAGTCAGCAGCAATCAAAGACCTAGGAGAGTGCCAAGATGAAGCCCACTTCCCACTGTTGTAACTAAAATGGTCCTGGGTTTTAAGTTGGAGGACCTGAGTGAGTTCTCCTGCTGACTACTTTACACTTCACAAGCCACAGTATTTTCACTGCATCTCAGAATTTACTGAAAGGGTGGGGGGAGTAGGAAGGGTGGCAAATAGGTAACCAGGGGGGACCCTGCCAGCTGTAGTGACACTCGATTCTGAAATAGAAGGATGTTTTCCAGGTCACTGTATCAGTTTCTTCTCTGTTGTTGGGGTAAAATACCAGTGGAGGGGTATGGGAGGTGACAACAAGGACAAGGGACACAGTGTTTATTTTGTCTTCCAGTTCCAGAGAGAATAAGTTCATGGTGGCAGGAAAGATATGGCAGCAGGATCAGGATGATGGCTGATTGTACCCACACAGGAAACAGAACAGCAAGTGAGACCAACTTATAAAACCTCAAAGCCCAACTCTGTAACATTCCTCCTCAAGGGAGGGTCCACCTTTCAATGGTTCTACAACTAGCACCACCAACATGGAACCTAGTGTTCAAGCCTCGGCTATGGGGAGCATATCACACTCAAACTATGATCATAACTGTATCTGAAAATCCACTATCATTGCAATACATAGGTTATATATTTCACAACCTAAATTCAGGTTTTAATCTCATACAATATCAGTTGTTGACCTTTTAAGGTAGTTGTCATATTGAAGCCATTGGTCATTTTTTAGCTCATTTGAGTAAGTTTTTCATTTTTGTTCTAAGTAAACAAAATAGTTACGCTTTCATTTTCCAATTATTTTCTTTTCTGACTTTGTTAAAACTATTTTGTTATTCCATCATACCCCAGTCAGAATGGCCAAGATTAATAAAGCAAATGATGGCACATGCTGGTAAGAAATCTCTGTCTGAAGAATAACAAGGTTAACAAGGAACAAGAATCAAACACATGTATATACACATGTTCATGCACCTACACAGACTTTTGTACCTACATGAATGTGCATAACATTCACACACACACACACACACACACACATACACATGTGCACACTCACAGAGAAGTACTTAATGACCACCATAGTAGCCAAAACTGTTGTCTCACAGTGTACTACCTGGCTCTGTGTACCTGGTACACTGTGCTATGCTGAATTCTACACAGTGTTCCATTTAGCCCTGAGAATAATTGAGTGATGACACACTTACAGACCCAATTCTACTGAGGAAGAAAGTAGACAAAACACTGTTTGAATTAACTGTACAAAATTCAAGCCAAGTCCTCCTTGACACCCTTTTCTCACAAGCACAACTCCCTGCTCTACTTGTCAGCAAGGGATTGCTTTAAGACATCTAGTCCTGAAGCAGGAATGGATTCCCTTGACATGTCAAACTCTCAAATGAGAGAGCTAGTGACAAGAAACAGCATCAGTCCAAACCAAGATATCTAGATGAAAAGATTGCTTGCCAGTTTGTGACAGAGAGGGGGCGGTGAAGATCCCAGCAAGGAAAATGAAGGCTAGAGAAACTGAGTCAGGAGAGCATCTTACTGCAGGTATAGACACACACCACAGAGCTTTAAATGTCGCCATTTAGAGCTGAACTACAAGGGGCAGCAAGATGTCAAGCCTGATGAGCTGAGGATGATGCCATATCAAAGTAGAAAGATAAACTCCTGGAAGTTATACTCTGCTTTCCATATGCATGCTGTTGAGCACAGTCACTGGGACACACACACATGTACAATAGCACACACGCACACACACACGCACACACACACATGCACACACACACGCACACACACACATGCACACACACATACACACATGGCCTTAATTATTAATTCATTAAAGATTATTTTTAAAGTCCAGACAACAGAACAAAGAGAGACGCTTTCTCTCTCTCCCCTGCTCTCTCTTTCCTCTTCTCTCTCTTCTTGACTGTAGCCCATTCTGTCTCCTTTCTCTTCCTTCTCTCCACACTCTCTTTTCTCCTGTATTCTCTCCTCCATTTCTGCTTTGTGCTCCTCTCCCCACCCCTCCCTTCCTTCCTCTTTCCCTCTTTTCTAATAATATTTGCCTCTGTTTCTCATTGACAGACCCAACTGAAGGACATTCAATGAGGGATCTTGGGTGACTACTGTAAATGATGCTCTCCAGGGACACAGTACAGAGAGAGGATGCACCAAGAGACGCACAGACACACAGGCTCCCAGAGGCTTGGGGAGAACTGCTGTTCCTCTATACTGTGATCAAAGTTGCAGTTGGAGGTCTGAAATTACCCTGAGGTTATTCAAATATGTAATCACTATGCCATCTTTGGCCTTTAAAAATCACTACATCCTCCTGTCCCCACAGTGTCTGTCCCCTTAGATGGAGTCTGGTGTTACCCAGAGGTGACAGGTTAGTATTATGTCAAAAAGGCCAGAAACCTGTTTATAGCCAAAGAAAATGTCAGACTAGTCTCCAAGCTGTGTCCTTTCCAATACTGCTGCCCATGGTCACCAAGCTGTGTCCTTTGTATTACTGCTTTCAATGGTCACCAGGCTGTGTCCTTTCCAATGTTACTGCCTGTAGTCACCAAGATGTGTCCTTCGTATTACTGCTGCACGTGGTCACCAGGCTATGTTCTTCCCATTAATACTGTCTGTGGTCTCCAGGTGCACACTCTCTATTGCTGATGTATGTGGTCCTCATATTTTCCATGAAGATAGTGTAAACGCTTCCATTTTTTAAAATTTCACAAATTTCTGAAGTCTAGGTATTTAAAAGTGTTACAGGCTATAATGACACAAGCATAGCTGAATATCAAAGATTATGCACAAGTAAGGACTTATGGGAAGAAGTGTGGACTGAAGGCTGGGATAGGAATGAACTGTGTGATGAGCAGACAAAACAAATTACTATTATTTATCAATATGGACATTATCAAATATGAATCTCTTGATATGATGAAAGACAGAGTCAGATTGAAAAAATCTCTGACAGAAGAAAGTTTTGAAAACCCATTTTGCTTTGAGTTAATTAATGTCAATGTTCCCATTTTCAGAAGAATAAGGTCTAGTTCAAATCAGTGCTTACCTCTACAGCTTCAGCATATCAAGTTAACAGAAGCAATCAATCAGTCCTGGGAAGGGAAATCAATTAAACAATGTATTTCTAGAATATTCTCAATAGTGGAGATAAAGAAAAAATAACATCACTTTATTTGAAATAGGCGACTTCTTTAATCTTGAGAATGGTTCCAAGTTCACTGTTCACTAGGAAGTGGAAAACACGGTGCGTGGCGCATCAAAACTGTGAATAAACAAAGGGAAGTGAGCTGCTGTTTGTGATATTACTTACTTCATTAGTCTAACACCTCAGGGGGAACACTAAGAGCCTGGTATTAAATTACACATGCCAATTTGGGTGTTCTCTATGATCCATTAGGCTTTCTTCAATAGAAAATTAATTGTATTGCCATTCCATAATTCTCTCCTGAAACATTTACACAGGTGTCAAGAATGCATTTGACACAATTCAAACCCCATAATGCCTTTAAATAAAACACTTTAAATGTTGCTGGCATACGGGAGGGAATCACTACAGATCAAAATGCATATAAACAGGAACAGTAACTTTTGAGAAACTAAACATTAAATCTACCTGGGAAATATGTTTATTTGACTTTTCCAAGATGGGGTCATTGTTGCTGTCATCCTCTGGCTTTAGTTTCTCCTGTAGATGTTGGGATGTTTTCAAAGAGATCTCTGACAGAAAACTGGAGCATCTACTCTTTGTCCTTATTTAAAAATCCTCAGCAATGTAATTAAGTGCACTGGCATCTCATGCTCATATATGATAGTTTTACAGCAAATGACTGAGTATAACATAAAATTTGTATGTTGTCTTTGGTTTTGTATTTCTGAAACTGTCCTCAAAATTGTTATGTTAGTTGAGGGTGACCTTGAACTTCCAGTCCTCCTGCCTCTTCCTCCTAAACATTCTGATTACAGGCACGCACCACCATAACCAGTTTATGCAGTGTTATGATTCAGACCTGGGGTTTTGTTCATGCTATGCAAACATTCTACTAACCAGTCTATACCACAGCTTCTATGATATCAATAATTAATTTTCATATTACCATACAAAATCCTGTGTCATTCCTTTCAGATTTATAGTAAGATATAAATCCCTGAATACATTCCAAGGCAAGACTATTAAGGAGAAGAATTCTCAGCAGCTGCTAGCTTCCCTATAAAATTTAATTTTGAAATGCTGGTTTATTTTCCTGTTGCAATTTGTCTGGCATGCTTCCTGATTGCATTGTGATAGCCTCCATGGGTCTTTTCCATTTCCACAAGCTCTAAAAGAGAATTTAAACTTTTCTTTCAAAAAGACTGCAGTTTTTGCTTTCTACCTTGAGCCCTGTGGAATAATTTCAAAAAGTGGTTAGAGGAAAAGGGACATCCTGCACACAGTGAAGAACACAACACCAGCATCCATGGAGTTCACTTTAGGAACACGGAATAGTATCCCAAAGTACTGAAAGGAAAAAGGACACGCTGCACAGATCAGAGAACACAGCACCAGCATTCTCAAAGAATCCTTGGGAGCATGCCCCTTGAAAATTCAAAGTGTGCCCTTGGAAAATCACGAAGGAGGTAGAGAGCCAGAATGTGTGCCTTGATACCAGCCACTACAGCGCTGTCTCGGCCCAGGAGATAACCAATGTCCCTTGTAAAATCTTCATGAACTATCCTGAAATCAATAGTGATGAAAATATATCCCTCCATTTGTATGGCCTAGGTCAGTTAACACTTTGAAAATCTTTCAGATATTAATGCCTGAAAACCAATCACTGTCTACTGAAGTTGTAAGATGGCCCATTCCCCATAATACATGAAACCTAATATTACATTAAAAGGCTTAAAGATAGAAATGCAATATATTGTGACATATGATCCCATCTACAGGAATCTGGGGTTCCAAGAGATTAATGTCTGTCCATGTGGTTGTAATGGAAAGGGCAGAATATACAACCCCTGGCTTCTTAGTTACACCACATGGAATCCTGGGAGGGTGGATCTCAATTCAGAGGAGAAGTGGGTGCTAAGTAACTCTGCTTCATTGTATCAAGGAGAAACTCAGAAGCAAAGCTCCAGTTCTCTCTAGATAACAAAGTGATGATCAGCTAGATTTCCTAGGTCAAAACAAGAAGGAACTGTTTTGTCATTTTTCGTCTTAGGTACCTGGAAATCCAAAGATGTATTCAGGAAAGAGGAGATGGCTCTGTTGGCGAAGTGCTTGCCTTTGAAGGAGAATGTAACTTAAAGACCCACAACCCACATAAAAAAAATCCAGGAATGGTAGCATGTGCTTATAATCTGGGTCCTGGGTCAGGGACAGAAAGATACCCTGGAACCCCTGGCCAGTTAGTGTAGACTTATCATTGAATTCCAAGCCAGTAAGAGGAATGATACCCAAGACTGCCTTCTCATCTTCATGCACCCCCCAGACACACACCATGTCTGTTATTAGTCAATTCCACTGCTTTCTAAATCTAAGATTACTAAATGTACAGTATAAGACTTTCAGATTTTGTGTCTAAGTACCTGCAGGTTATCTTGACAAATGAACGGGACCACTCTGCTTAACTAGCTGCATAATGACTATAGAAAGTGTTGCCTGTTGCACAAATTTTGATTTTTAATAATTACTGTATTGTCAGTTGTGGATTAGGAACAGGTTAGATGTCAGCAAACCTTAATCAAAATAGTTAGAGACAGTGACCAACAATGACTGCTTTTAACAATTGATGACATTTAAAATATGTTTAACATTGAAAATTCTGCTTTTAAAAATTGGTACCAATGTTTAACTTTACACTCAAGGGTATACACTCAACAAAGATGGGAAAATTTCACATAATTCTTCACCTATAGATTTTGTTCAAAACAAAACTGAAAAGCACTCCAAAAAATGAGGAAAAAATCAATGAAGATTTCAAAAGACTTTTCCGTGCCCACATCAAGGCTTCCTGCTCATCGTGACTCAACATCTGTTTTAGTCATCATCTTCATGTTATGCTCTCCACATCAATCAGTTATTCAATGAAACATTTTACACTAAACACCACGCAACCTATCTAGTTTCCCTGTTTTCCTAATTCCAGGTAGGTACAGTTATGAAGAGAAAATTGAACCTGTTTGGAACCAGGACCATTTCAGATGTTTTTTGCATAGCTGCCTACCAGTAACAGAATAGGGACAATTTCCCCACAGACCATGGGAAATGATTTATGAATGATGCCAGCAGAAAAACCAGGGCTGATCTCCAATTAATCAAATTCCAAAGTACCTTAACAAAGGATGGCATTCTGGTCATTGGAAGCTCATTAGCTGAAGATAACCCCTACATTTCAAATAGCCTTTAAAGATACCGTGTAATGAAAATAATCTATCAGCTATGAAGTGATGAGTATAAGCTTCTAATGAGCAGCAAACCCAGTAGTATATGTAATAAATAAAGTCTGCCCTGAATTTGCAGCAATTTGTGAACGAATTACAATATGTGTTTGTAAAATAAGAAATGGCTTCCTATGAAAGGTTCTGAAACAAACGAGATGGTTTCCTAGTAACGTTCATATCATCATTGATCTAAGAAGCATGTTTCCTTTTGTTAAAAAATAAAAACCTAATCTGAGGAGGTGAAGCTATCTTAGTAAGCAAAGTGTCTGTCACTCATGCATGAAGACCTGAGTTCAGATACACAAGCCCACATTTAAAAAAAAAAATCAAGCACAATGTTATGTGTCTGCTACCTCAACCCTATGGAACACGGAGACAAGTATGTCCCTGAAGCTCATTGTCAAGCCAGCTTAGCTGAATCAATGAACTTTAGGTTAGATTAATAATAATAATAATAATAATGTAGACATTATCAAGACACCTAACTTCTATCTCCACATGTGCAAACATGCACACACACACACACAAACACATACACACACACACACACCTATACTAGCAAATATTAACACCATACACCAAGAAAAATAATTCTACTTTTTGATTTATTGTGCTGGTCTTTAAGAAGGCTAAGCTATGTCATAATTTAGAGAGGTGGGGGATCTAATTTGTCAGTGAAGTCCGCAAAGGAAGTATTCCGAGGCAACTGATAACACATCTACTCACGTTGCAAAAATATAAATGAGAGCTGGCCACCCACATCTCTTCTGGTCAGTCAATGCTTAACACTTGCAGCATGTTCATTTTCTGTTTTTTAATTCCTATGTAATGAATCGGTATCATCATCATCTTAAATAGCCCAAAGCACAAAGCACACCACTGGAGTCAATAATAGCAGCTTTGAAAGACTATAGAAATGAACTAGGTTTCAGACCATTCCTCGGCAATAATCGTATCTTTTGTGCTAAATTCTGTTATAATTAAACAATTCCCCACGAGCATCACATTGAGATACTCTGCTATTTTACACACAGACCGCCAAAGGCTTATATTAAACATTCAGTAATGAGACAGTTTTGCCCTCCTAATGTCATAGTTACTTTAATATGTCAGATAAGATGAGCCCATTATGATAACATTTCATCTCGAACTTCTGCACAGAATTCATAATGTTCTATACATATTACCTTAATTTCTTCCCATACTCTTTTAGAAAGGTAGGTACAGTTGATGGCACACTGACTCACATCAAATGAAGGGGAAAATCTGAACGGATTACGATGTTTCTGATATTATCTGTATCATTTCTATGAGGAAAGGAGTTGGATTAGGGCAGATCAAGCTAGAGTCCCACAGTTGCTGCTGGTAGACCAGATAATCTCCAACTTGGGGACCAGGGAAATGTTTTGTTATTTCATTTTTGACATTTGCATATAAAATAATGCTAGTTTCACAAGGTTTAAGTAAGGTTAACCATGTGATTGCTTATGAAGTGTTATACTGTCCATTTAACAAAATTTCTTTTTTAAAGGATTTATTTATTTTATGTGCATTGGTGTTTTGACTGCATGTATATCTGTGTGAAGGTTCCAGATCCCCTGGAATTAGAGTAACAGACTTCTCATAGATAAGTAGAGGTAGCTATGATAAACCATCATAGTGAATTACTAGT